TATATATGTATCTGTTTCCTTGGGCAATATCATCAACAGGCTAGTAGTTTCCTAATTTTATTAGTATTGATTGGATTGATTTTAGAGTAAACTACATTTTTATTAGGACACTTCTGTTTTCATGGCAGAGAACATGAGGAAGGGGCTTTTAGTAGTGATGATGACCTTGGTGCAATAGATTTAAATGAAGACTGGTTCAATAATGAGTTTTCCGRTGTCGATGAAGATGATGTCGCTAGTTTAGATCATCTATCGGACGGGGATGATGAAATTAGGGAAGTTCGATCAAATATGATGGATTTTAATAGTAAGCAAAAGAACAAAATTATAGAAGATTTTGAAGATGGAAATGAAATTGGTCCAATGGGTGTAGATGATAGTGTGGAAGTGGTGGAGGATGTACATACACAAACTTATCAACATGACGATTTTTTGACCGAGACATGCGAGGGGTATGATAGACATGCATTCATGGAAGAAGAAGTTGATTCGGAAAATGAAGTTCTCCGGACAAAGTCAAATGAGTTTCCTATACATAATCCCAATGTCCCTTGGAACGTAATGAAACCTTACTTGGGTGAAAKATATGCTTCTGTTTCTGAACTAAAGACATGCTTGACTAACTATGCTCTTGCAAATGGACTTCAACTTAGGTACGTTATTTATATCTTATTTTGTATATATACATTATTTAATTTGTGTTACTTGACACATATCCATAAATTTAGGTACAAAAAAAATTGCAAGGACAAGTTACTTGTTGTATGCGGACCAAAATCAGGATCAGAAAATGATTGTCCATGGAGGTTGTGGGCTAGTTGGATGTCGAAGGAAAGATCATTTCAAGTGAAGTCATTACACGATGATCATAGATGTGGAAGAAGTTACAATTTAGGTTCACTCGTCAATTCTAATTGGATCGCAAAGGTATATGGTAAGAAGATAAGACGAAATCCTTCTATAAAGTTAGTTGAATTAAAAGAATCAATTCTTAGAAAATACAAGTGCACAGTTCAGATAAGTCAATGTAGTAGGGCCAACGCAAAAGCTTTGGGAGGATTGGAAGAGTACCTAGTTGATCATTATGGAAAATTGTGGGACTATGGAGAAGAAATCATGAGGAGCAACCCAGGATCAACCGTCAAAATGAGTGTAGAGGTAGGGCCGGATGAGAAGAACTATTTTAAGAGGTTTTATGTTTGTTTGAAAGGTGTAAAAGATGGATGGTTGGCAGGCTGTAGAAAGTTCATTGGACTAGATGGATGTTTTTTGAAAACCCATTGCAAAGGAGAACTATTAAGCGCAGTAGGTAGGGACGCGRACAATCAAATCTAYCCACTTGCTTGGGCTGTAGTTGAAGTAGAATGTAAAGATAGTTGGAAGTKGTTCTTGGAATATTTGATGCAAGACATTGGATTAACAGATGGATTGRGGGTGACATTAATGTCAGATCAACACAAGGTAATCTAATTGTATTACTTTTTCCTTTACTWATTTGTTGTCTATTTTTATTGACTAGTTATCAACGTAAAAATATAGGGACTTATTGAAGCTGTAAAAGAAGTCTTCCCACTGGCTGAACATCGACAATGTGCTAGGCACATTTATGCAAATTTCAGGAAAAGGTTTACCGGAATCCAATTCAGGTCATTATTTTGGGCTGCATCAAAAGCGGGTACACCTCAGGAATTTAGATGTGTAATGCAAGAAGTGAAAGGCTTAAGTCATGAAGCTTATGATCGTCTCATGGAAAGAGATCCAAACACATGGTCAAGAGCCTTTTTCAAGACCGATACATCGTGTGATGCAGTTGAGAATGGAGTTAGTGAGTGTTTTAACTCATTAATTGTTTCAACAAGAAGGAAACCTATAATAACAATGCTTGAAGAGATAAGATTGACCATCATGGAAAGATTTGAGAAGATGGCCAAGAAAATTGAGAAATGGAATGGTGACATTTGTCCATCAATCAAAAAGAAAGTAGAGATAAACAAAGATCAAATGAGGTATGTTTTTTTTATTAATTTGTTTCATAAATGCGATAAATTATTTACCTAATATGTTTATTACATTATTATTATTCGCTTAGATTTTGGCAAGTTGTCCCGAATGGCGGGACTCTCTTTGAAGCAAAAAAGGGGCTTGACGGATACGTTGTYGATACGRATAAAATGACATGCACTTGCAGGATTTGGCAAGTCTCTGGAATTCCATGTGCTCACGCAGTTGCGGCTATCTATTTCATTAACCGAGACCCAGATAAGTATGTATCTCACTTTTTTTTCAAAATCATGTTTCATAAACACATACAACCATAGGGTCAATCCATTGAATGGCGTCAAACTTTGGCCGACCACAAATTTTGTCAAGCCTTTACCACCAAAATTTAGAAGAATGTTCAATATCTAGACGGAAGGATGCATGTGAAGGTGGTAGTAAAACTAGGACCAACAATTTTGGACATAATGAGGTAGGAAGAACAGGAAGGCAGATGACTTGCAAAAACTGTTGGAAGGTTGGACATAATTCAAGAGGTTGTAAAAACCAAAAAAAGGATGCACCTTCTATGCAAAAAAATCCGGTTGGTAGGCCTAGAGGCAGTGGTTCAAGTAGGGGTTCAAGAGGCAGTTCAGGGAGAGGTTCAAGCGGCAGGACTTCAAAGAGAAAGGGTTGGTCCAATTCCACCGATTGTGGTAAGTAAACCTTGTGATTCTTATGTTTTTTTATCAAATTTTCCCAATTTGTTATTCAAAAGTCATTAGGTAATTAACGTGACTTTTTTTTTATTTGAAGTTGAAGCAAAAGAAGGGGAAGAAACTGCGTCTAAAAGGACTAAGTGAAGTCGGGTGTAATATTGGTTGGGCATTAACAAAGTATAGTAGCATTTTGGTTTATAATTGATAGCGGTGTTATGTTATTGTCCTTTTATTATAATTGATACGTCATTTTTGTAAAATATTTAACCATCTGGAATATTTTTGTTAATTAATTTATCAAATGTTTAGCAATGATTATMAATGTTTTTATTATTTGATATTGTTTAGTGAATTAAAATTTAAACAAATAATAGGCCTAAAGATGTAATTTTTCTTAATTGAAAAATACGTATTTCACAAAARAATAAAATTAAAAGAACGATATGGATTTTTTAACTGAAAAAAATACAAATTTAAAAAAAAATGATGTGGAATTTTCCTTAATTGAAGAAAATACAGATATCTAAAAAAANAAATGATGTGGAATTTTCCTTAATTGAAGAAAATACAGATATCTAAAAAAAATTAAAAATGACATGGATTTTTTTTTCTTAGATGGCATTGATAAAAAAAATAAAAAAATGCCACATCAATAAAAACCTAATCTTAGTCAGCATTTGTAAGTCATCAGGTAGACCAGGTACTTAAAAGATTGATATTTTACAATTGAGGTACCAAAATATAGGTTTTAAAAGTATGTTACCCAAAATAGGAATTAGATGAAAGTACATTACTTTTTAATGTAATTTGCCCTTTTAACAATTCTAACATTAACTATATTATTAAAATATTCAGTACATTTAATAAAATGGATTGAGTGCTAGAAGAAATCAACCTAGTAGTTTATTTCCATCTATAGTGACTCCAAGTACGTATAATACAAGAAAACATGTTTAAACTGTATGACAAAAAATGCTCAAATTTAAGCGCTGTTTATCAAACATTTACCCGTTAAGTGCTTATCGGTAAAATTTAACACTATTATGTACTTACCAGGTAATATTTTAGTCCACCAAAACAATATTGTATTCAACAATTTACTCAATCAGTGCTTACCGTGGTAAGAGTCGTCGCCTTCACTTGCCGGATAAGACTCTTGGTCCTTGTTTTGTTCTTACCGGGTAAGATTCTTGGTCCTTACTATATTCATACGATGAGGTAATATTACTTGATAAGCGCTTACCCGGATAAACATTTGGTAAACAGCCCCTTAGACTAAAAACAATCTCATACACACATTCTCTAAATAATAGATGATTGTAATGCAAGCGGATCGGCCTCGAAATACCATATGGATCGAAGATGAATGCCTCGTCATCGCTCACGGGCATTTCATTCGTGATCATATATGATTAGGGTTGTGCAAACACCGAAGGGTTCAAAACCCGAGCCGGAGCCCAAACCGTGCAAAACCAAAATGTCCGAACATCTAAAAGTCCGAAACCAGACTTTTTGGTTTGCCCACTTGAAACCGCCCGATCACAGTGGGTCCCAAAAAATGGTACAAAGAAATAATAGAACTCAAGAAATTTTCATTCAATATCCATTTGGTCGTAGCACGCTTCTAAACTATACAAACTAGATATGCATCTAAACCAAGCTTCGATTTGCATCATATATAATTGACGATATCGAGCTCGAACCGTCTACTCATCGACATCGGGACCACATTCGACCTCTCGTAATTTCAACAACAGAAATAACACGATCCCGCATACAAACCCTAATGCGGCACTCGACCCCGTGAGCGATATAGCCGCACAAACGAGCATTACAAATGACTCTTCTTTCGTATGCATATCCTTCGACGCCATCGCTAACTCTATTCCTGCAAACAAAAGTAATGCCCCTAAAATCCCGACCGGGAACTGGTTCAAGATTCTAACAAACGAGTTCCCGAATAACAATCCGAGCACTAATTTCCCGGCTCCTAATAGCACGACCGAAGCTCCGGTACGGCCGCCGAATCGGTACTGACCGGCTAATCCACCGGCTCCGTGACACACCGGCATTGCCCCGAACCAACAACCCACTAGATTCATTAGTCCCACACTCATTGATACGGCGGTAACCGATGCTTCATGCTCCGGGAACAAGTCGTCGGAGAGTTTACACACCGCAATCACCGAATTCAACACGGATAACGGGATTTGAGGCACCGCCGCCCGGAGAAACCCGGTTTTCATATCGTCCCAGGTGATCTTCAAAACGTGAAACTTCGAAGGACCTAACTGGAGGTCGTTGATGATCGTCGGGTCTATAACGAAACAAAGTATTATTCCGATCAAAAAGACGATCAAAGCAGCAGGAATGGATGAAAGTATCTGAAGCCTCCGGCGGACCCGTCGTTTTCCGGCAACAGTTTCCCTGTTCTGATAGGTTTCTCCTGAGCCGGTGGTGATGATTAGGAAGACGATCGAAGAAAGCGCTACAATAAGACCATCGAGGCCCAGCCACGATCGGGAACCGCCCTGTTTGTTTCCGGCGAAATCTTGGTTATATCGAACGTATTTAATAGCAGTGAAGGCGAACGAGAGACCTTGAGAGAGCTGTACACCGCGGACTACTGGAAGAGGGATGAAGCGGTAGAGGAAGGACATGAGACCGGTGGCACCGAGGAAGAGGAGGACGGAGGCGGTGCAGATTCCGGCGGCGGCGATTTGGGAGAGAGTGAGAAGTGGGGATTCGGAGATAGCGACGGCGGCGATGGACTTCATGGGTTGCACAGGCATCGGGATGCCAAATAGAAGGCCGGTGGCGATGTTGTATAAAGCGGTGAAGATGAGGGTGGTGCCGAGATCGAGGTTCGAGACGAGGGTGAGGGCTAGGACGATCGGGATGTAGGTGCCGAGGTCGCCGACTGAACCGCCGAGTTCTGACCATAAGGTGGTTTTGTGGAGGCAGAGGGAGGAGGTGGCGTTGGATGGGATTTGACGCCACCACTGACGGCGGTGGTGGAGGAGTGGGGTGGTGGTTGGCGATTCTTCGTCCATGTTCGCCGGAAATAGAGTTCCCCTTTCCTGCTTCTAGACTGAATAGACCGGTTGACCCGAGGAGTTTTTCGCATTTATAGTGATATTCACACAAATGGCCCTTGAACTATTATATAAGTACGTTTATGGTCCCTTAAGTTTTGAAAATCACATCTATAACCTTCTCAGGTAGGAGTGTGCAAAACCCGAATAGTTCAAAATCCGAATCCAAACCCGAACCGAAAATAGTATGTTTATGCAAAAACAGAGTACCCCAAAAATCCGAAACCCGACTTTATTTATTTACATAACAACAGGACGCTAAAACGAGTGTACGAACACGCTCTAACCTAAGCGTAGGGGATGTTTGGCTATAAGTATTAAGCAGTCATTAATGGAATTGAATATAAAAAAATGTTTAATTATAATATAATGGGTTTATTCCCTCATAAGGCAAAATTTTCATTCCAGGTTAAACTGGAGGATAAAAATTTATTCACATTTCATTCCTTTACCTAAACCAAACGGTCTCTAAATCTGCCTTCTTGTCCAAATACCCTTTTATGTTACGAAAATAATCCAAACGAATTACACAAATGTTACCAAAATTAAACCTTTTTTTCCATCAAGGAGTGAAGCGCACAAATGATCATATTTGATGGGTTAGTTTTGCTTGGTCGTAAAGATGCAGGGGGTGGAATGGAAATTGTAGATGGTTAATGATTGGTGTGGCTCCTGAATTGCATCGAGAGTCAGATGGGAATGGGTCATGGGTGCAGTCATTGGCTGGACATGGAAGCGAGAGGGTTTGGTTCAGTCAGTATCATCTGGTCACTCTGGAAATTTCCAAGACCCACAAGGGCATAACTGTAAATTTCCAATATTCCATCTTATCTTACGTGGGTATCATGTCAAAACGTGTATTAAGTAAATACGTAAAATAAGATATTCTATTTTTTAAAGTGGATCGTTCGCCTTCGCTCGTCTGTTGTTGACTGATCGCTCGTTGATATTGAAAAAGGAGGGGTTCATCTCACTACTCGTAATCCTATAAATTCGAGCCAAGTAATTGCAAGAAATGGAATTGTGATGAGCCAAAAGTTAGAATATTGCCTAACCACTTGTTTTCGTCTCCCGTAACCCCAAGAAACATCCGTTTGCTGCTAAGGATTATAATTGGCCGAAACCATAGCGTTGTTATAAGCGGGTCTAGGTGGAAAAGGACTTGAACCAAGACCTAAAGCTGAACCACTAAAGGAACCTCTTTCCGTTGTTAAAGACTCCTAGTAGCAAACTAGTATAAAAGGGCCCCATAGAGATGCAGGAGCCGTCGGCCGGATTGACCAAACAAATGATAGGCGCAGAGGGATCAAAAGAGCTTATCTCCCCACTGCCCTCCATTCCCCTGGCACAACACACACACACACACACATGTACTGACATACACACACGAACCCATATGGAACAATTATCTCTTTAGGGTTCTGATGTTTATGTAAGAGCATCTTTAATAAATTTCTCTAAATTTCTCAAAAATATAGAATTTAAATTTAAATTCAACTTCAATAGGTCCTCGGTCCTCCCCTCGCTCGTTGCCACTGCCCACTCGGCAATCGCAATCTCCTCCAGCCCTCTGTCGGTCTGCCTTTCTACCTGTCGACGACTCAAGTCCTCGACGTCCTCCAGCGGTCCAGCCCTCTGCCTTTCAGCCGACGCCTCCTGTAGTCATGTTTGACCTGGGACGGGATGTTAATCCCCGTACCCGCCGGGGATCAGGGCCGGGGGTTGTTACTAAAAACCGGGGTTGGGGTCGGGGATTACAAACCTCGCCCCATCCCCACCCCATTGCCATGCCTACTAGTTTTTTGTCTGTAATCCCTTGCTTATGGCTATTACCGATAATTCATATCCTTCATCTTCGGTCTTCCTGCTGTCATGGAATGACACAATCTATCCCTTTCATTAAATTTGAATAGCGTTTCATTCCAAATTTATCTAAAATATAAATATGTATATATATAAATATGTATATATATATATAGATATTACAACCCGAGTATTAAATAACGGAAGAAAAATTACAGTCTGTAAATAATTATTGCAACCCGACATTATTATTTTTATAATACAACACGTTAGACAAAAAAAATAACGTTACGATCGAACTCAAGACATGGATTGCCTCCATTTTCTTGAATTCTTGCTTCTTCCCTTTTTACCGTTCACAGGAGTCTGCCTTCCGATACTACTCGAATTGAACCCTGTTCCTTCTAAGCTCTCGTTAGCCACTTCTACGCTTATATCCCTTAGAGTCGTCGACATTGCGAATTTCCTCCAGCTGAAGAACCCTTTCTTCTTTTCCGACAACTTTTCAATTTGCGACTGCATCATATGACACTGCCTCTCAAGCTTCGACACGTTTTCTTTTAGCTTCTTGATTTCCATTTGTTGAATCATCGCAAGTTCTCTCGACGAATGGCACCGTTCGTGTGGGTCCAACCCTGGGTTCGGACTCTTGGTGATGCTGAACGACCGGCTCCAGTCAATGTGAGAATGGAGTTTGGTTTGTTCTGAAAAGAGGACTTGGATTACAGATCTCACCGGTAAACGGTCGTTCTGGGCTGCGTGCAGAGACGCTTCAATAGATAACTTCTGACTGTCGATTAATCTGCATAACGTCTTTCTTTCTTGTTTCGTCACGTTCACGTGCATCTACACGAAATACGTATTCTCGTAATTTGTACTAAAATACTATGATTTTAAATAAATAATTATGATGATTTAAGGTTACAAATATATAAAAACAAGTAGTCATATTCATCACGGGAGGCCCAAAAAGGCCAATTTGTACTTCCAATGTGCCACCACTATTATCTCCTTTATACCTATCATTTGGTGGTGATCATAATTGACAACACAAAAGCATTTATAAGAGATTAATTTTAATGAATAAATAATTATTTTTAAAATAATATATTTTAGTTTTTCCTTTAAGAAAATTATCAAAAATAGCTATTTTACCGAACACTTATTCGACTAAGTCAATATTACCTTATTGGATGAATATGGTAATAACCAAAAATTTTATGTAAGAGCGAGATAAGGACCAAGAGTCTTACCCGGTAAGTGAGTGCGACGACTCTTACCGGGTAAATTGTTGCATACAATGCCGTTTTAGTATACTACAATCATACTCAGTAAGTAAGTGATAGTGTTGAATTCTACCAGTAAACGTTTACTGGGTAAGTTTTTGCAACTAGCATTTTAACAATTTGAAACTGTACACTTACATTTAGACAAACCAAAATAAAGAATGTAGACATTTATGGCTTGTTTGTTAGCAGCTTAATGAAATTAATAGTATACACAATTTATTCAATTAACTATACATCACTGTTTTGTAGTGGCTTAATTATATAGAAAATGACTTATTCAATAAGCTTACTATAAGGACTTTTTATGTAAAACGCCAAGCTTTTCCAAACCTTCCATTTATGAAGAAAAAAGAAAACAGTACTTAATTGAAAACTAACAAAACAACCTTAGTTTAGGAAGGAGGGATTAACATTTATTTTTTAGCAACTTAATAGGTTTAATAGAACTCACAACTTATTAATCAGCTATATATAACTATTGGATACCGACTTATTCGGTATGTTTTTAGAGAGAGGTTTATATGACTTAATGAAAAACCAACTAAACGGTTAATATGAGACGGAGGGAGTAGAGAGTTAAAACGACTTACTTTTAAATAAGTATCAATGGCACGGTATAGACCATCGTCAGTGGCACGTGCTTGCGGAGGAACAGCGCCGGCGAGCTCCATAAACTCCGGCAATGCCAGCTCAGAATCGAGGGCAGCTTCAGCTAAGTAAGCATCTACAAGCTTTGCAACCTTAAAAATTCCGACGCCACTTCTCAAACCTTCAATGTCCAATTCCACATACCTCTTAACCAATCGGAGCATCAGTTCGACGTCGAGCAACGTGCCTCTCACGTGACTAAAACACGGTATCATCAGCTCCTTCAGCGCCGCTTGGTCCAGCCGCCACGCCACCCGTTTCTCGAGCTCTTCTCGATAATTCGAATCGACACCCAACATGTTGGCTTTCTTAAGCAGCCGGAGAAGAAAGCTGCAGGGAACGGCGTCTTTTTCCGGTGGGAGAACCGTGACTATCGTCTCGAGGAAAAACCTTTTCTTCAGCCAGGACGCGGTGGCGCTTTCCGGCGGAGATTGGAGGAGGTCGTTGATAACGGGGGATTGTGGTGGCTCGGCGGAGAGTTCGGGTATCCACTTGGAAGCGTAATGGGTAATGATGGAGCCGATTAGGTCAGGTCGGACTCCTTTGGATTTGATGCCGGAGAGGGTTTTGACGAATTGATCGATGTCGAGAATGGAGGCGTCGTCTAACCAGCATCTGGCGGCGAGTGATGTTGGTTTGTCGTCGGGAAAAATGGCGGTTTCCGGTGAGGATTGGTGGTTCATTGTGGTGGAGGAATTTGGTTGGGGGGACTAACGAGGTGGGTGGTCTCATGTTATGTCCTTTTTACATGGTATATGGCCGCATGTGGATAAAAAGAAACACGGACCACATAATTCTTTACGTGAATGTTCGTATAATTACTACTCTTTTAAAAGTTTTATCGTAACATTTTCTATCTGACAGATTCTATATAATTTCTTCCGGTAACAAATCTATAGTAGAGCATACGGTGGTACGTGCCATCGTATTATTCTTTCGTCGAAGCGTAAAAAAATTTATGTTTGTGAAAGGTACAACCGTATTTTTTTATTATGTGTCACCGTATGTATTTTGAAGCTACAATGAAAATAAGTTTCATTTGGTAGAGTTGGTTTGCAAAACTTTTATTCCATCCCATACTAAAATTGGAATCCTGTTAGTACAATTTTCTTAGTCAAATGGTGTTATTTTTTTGGAAAAAAAATTGTACATTTGTTTTTTATGGTCAAATGATGCTACCGTTTGAAACTTTTACCCGGTATTTTTTATAGTCAAACGGTGTTACCGTTTGAAAAAAAATTCTGGATCCGTCCTTGATTTTCTTCAAAGTAAAAAGTTTAAAATTTTAAGATAAAGAAACTGTTGGAGTATTATAGTGAACAAAACGTTGGTTTTTTTTTTTTTTTTGTTTTAGATAAGCAGTTGGAGATGCTCTCATGGGTCATGGCATCAAGTAGGGGTGCTCAAAAACCCAACAAACCCGATCAACTCAACCCAATCGAACGTGAAATAACTCGACCCGAAACAACCCGATGTGTAATCGAGTTGTAAAATTTCCAAGCCGTAAGTATTATGTTACTATTATTTGAATTCAACCCAAACCGATGAACCCAATATCATTTTATTTTTTGAATTTAATATGATTGTTGAATTTCTATTAATATATACATTAGACAATTAAACTATCACGTAAGCTCTTCATATACATGTATTTTCAATCTATTCACATCTTTATATAATTCATTCGTATATATGTTCAATAACTGTGAACAATATATGTAAATTGAAAAAATTAGCTGAATGTGATATACGTAAGAAGTATGAATAAGCTGTATCAAATGGTTGATGATAAAAAAAAGAAATTATAAGTAGAGAAATAACATATTCAAGGTTAGAAAATTATTTTAATGTACCAAAGTATCAATTTGACCAACCCGTACGATTTGGGTTGGGTTGGGTTAGGTTGGATCGAACTTTGGTTTGGGTTGGATTGAGTGAAAAAAAATTCAAACTGCAAGCATTGGGTTGTATTGTTCAAATTTCTTCAATCCAATCAACCCAAACCATGAACACCCCCTAACATCAAGTGCATCTATTAACATATTAAATATGGGTTTTTGAAAAGCACTTTCACATTTTTGAGACCTAAGTTTGTCTGTGTTTGGGATCTAACTTATATACCCTAACTTGTAATTTCAACAGTTGTCATGGCATGTTGTGGTTTAATACTTATATTTCACGTCATATTAAATTTGTGGTACGTGCAGGCTTAATGTGCGGTTTTTTTGTAACACGATATTTGATTTTTTTTTTTTTAATTTTTTGATGTTTTATTTGTTAGGTTTTATTTTGAGACAAATTAAAATAATAATGTAGACTTTTATTTTGAGACCAAAGTAATATTTACCGATAATAAATTTTATATTTTAAAGATTATATATTAATTATATAATTAAAATATTTTATATATATAATAAAAATATTTAAAAAATTGTTAATAGAAATATAATAATTATTTTTCTCTCATAAATTATAATAATCATTTTTATTAGTGCTTTAAATTTGAAAATTTCATTCTCTAATTCATGTTTTTTTATTTTCATTTTAAAGAATATATTAAGATGTCCAAAATCTTCATTTTCTTTATTTTAAAAAATATGTCAAAGTCTGAAATTTGAATCAATAAAATTGTTTGTTTTTGTAAACTGATAAACGTCTGAATTTTTTTAAATTATATATTTTACACATTAAAAATTATAGTGTTGAATTTATGGATAAATTTATACAATCACATATTTATTCACCATCATTATGAAATTTACATCTAAATCATATAATTAACATTCATTTAAACGAAAATATTTCCTTAACGATATTTAACATATTTAAATCCTATTAAAATGCATCAACTAAGAGAGATAATGATAGATTTGGTAAGGATTGATTGAGAGAAATGATCAATTAAGGTTAATCGATCAAGAACCCCGTTGTTGAAGGTTTGAAGAACAATAAAAGGCAAATAAGAGGTTGATTTACCTCTTACCAAATAAGAAGACAATAAGACATGAGTGTCTCTAAAAAATTCGAAAAAAACAAATAGGAAGGCCATTTAAAAGCTCTTTTCTTGTGTTCTTGAGTACACGTTAGGATATTACTTCAGGGGCTATCCAAGCCATTGAGGAGTTTGCTCAAACTGTCTGAATGACCTTATCTCTTAATGAATCAAACATAAGAGACTGATAAGAGATTTTTTTTTATAAAAAAACAAACAGGGTCTAACTGTAAGCTAAATAATAGTTGGTCCTAGAAAAAAAAATCAAGTGGGAAACACATTAACTAGACCTATATTACGGTAATTTCTTAACGATTTTTCTAAAGTACATAATATTTACATACGACAAACCGAACAAATAAACTCACACATCTTCCTCACCTTTGGTGAAGTTTGAACCTTTGACCTCTTAGCAGACCAATAATTCATATACCGCTAGGTTAAAGGCCCTTTGGTTTTTTAACGATTTCTTAAGTGACATAGGATTTATTAACATGAAATTATGGTGGTTGTGAGTAACAAGATGCACACAATATTTATTTTCCTCACATAATTATGGGATTGAATTTCATTAATTTATAGAAGAATTTACAGATTACAGTTATAAAATCTAACTCTAGTTAAAACAAGATAACTACCAAGAGACTGTAACTGATTGGGAGACTTCTCTCACCTGTAATCTTTAACTGATTGGGAGACTTCTCTCACATGTAATCATTAACTAATTTATTGTTATTAGTTAATATGATTTTCTTAATGAGAAATTAGTTTTTGATAATTGCTAATATTACATTGGTACTGTTAACTAAAGTTACAGTGTAAGTGAAATTATAGAGTAACAGTTTTTAATAATAAACTGTTTTATATTACATCATGATTATTGTCATTGACAAGTCAAAATTAATTTGAACTCACAACTTCTAGTATCATTCAATGATACTACGAGTGAGATGTAATAGCTTTTTTTCAATGTAAAAAAAACATATCAGATTAAAACAACTACATTGTTAAAATATCCAAAAAAAAAAAGTTTACACTATAAAACAGTACAATAAACATCCCATTCTTCTTAAATATGCTGCTAAATTAATGGGGTGTTTAGTTCAAGCAAATGAATGGAAATGAAAATGAAAATGAATTTTCATTCCCCCAGTTTAACCTGGAATAAAAATTTGTCGCTTCTGGGGAAATAAACCCATTATATTATATAAAAAACAAACATTTTTTTTTATTTCCATTGATTACTGCTTAATACATCTAACTAAACATCCTTAAATATTTAAAAATACTTTTTCATAAAGAATAAAAACTAAACTAAGTTCACATGTTTGCATTTTGTTGTCGCTTAAAACTTTACAAATAAATTAATCCACTTAAAAGACCATAAAATTTTGGTCCCTTGGCTTTTAGTTTTTATTGGGTAAACTCCAAATAATTAATGTTTTATTTTAAAATATAAATAAAAATAAAATATTTTTTAAAATAAAGTAAACTCCACTCTGGTCCTTATTAAAAATGTACGCAGGTAAGATTGGACGGTTTATGGTATTTATACTACTTAATCTGATTATGACGGTTTAAACTTAATTTATTCAAAAATATAATCCAATCTAACCTGGCAACCCTGCCCTTGTGGGTTGAGACGGGTTGGATTGGTGGGTTAATAGCTACATAAATTTGACGAATGAAATATTTTATAGTACTTTAGTTTACAGGATCGAACCATAAAATGAAATATAAATTTTTACACATTATGAATATATAATAAATAGATATAAGTATTATTTTTTTTTATCGAAGTGATATATATTAGAGACGGGTTGGATTGGGTTGAGCTAGACTAACCTAATTTCAACCCTTGTAATTTACGGTTTTTACAGGTCGGGTTTAATTGATAAAGGATTGGATGGCTTAAACGATTTGACAATTTAGACGAGGGGCAATTCGGTCATTTTATATGTTTTTATTTTATTAAAAAAAATTAAGTGTGCAATATTTTAAAGCTTATGGGTCGTTTATCAAATGTTTATCGGGTAATCGCTTATCTACAAGAGTTACCATCCTCACTTACATTATCGGGTAACAATTCGACAATCAAATCAGATTGTATGTAAGGGTCTCTTACTTAATAAACGTTAGCCGAGTTGTGACCTTCTCTCGTCCTTACAACATAAAACCATCAGTTATTGTCAATGCCTCTTATCAGGTAAGATTGTCGATCGTTAACTTGTTCATCCAAGATGTTATAACATTGAACTTTTACAAGAAAAACATGGTGACGGTTTATGAAGGTAAGCATTCACAGTGTTTTTGCTGTGAAAGTTCGATGTTATTCCTACCTTTACAATGAGTTGTTGTAAAGTTTCAATGTTATTTTTTGATTTCACGGGTCTCACAAAAATATGTTGGTCTCATGTATTTACTTGGGATCACGTAAGACCAATCTATTTTTATGAGGCGTGTGAGACCATTTTTTTACACTTAAAACTTCACAGCAAAACGTTGGGAAGGTAACATTTACAGTGTTTTTACTGTGAATGTTCGATTTTTTTTTACATTCACAATGTTTTACTGTGAAATTTTAAGTGTAAAAAGTGGTATCACATGAACCTAACTCTATATAGACACACACACACACACATATACATAGGTTGGGTTCACGTAAGATCAGACTGTTTTTGTGAGACAACATTTTTACACTTGAAACTTC